TTGTGACTCTCCATTTCTGCTCTCCCTGTGAACATGGCTGTGCAAATCTTGCATGAAAATTTTTTGGCTGTGGAAATCTTGCATGAGAGCTTCTTGGCTGTGGAAACCTTGCAAGAGAGCTTCTTGGCCATGCCTTGGAGCGCAGGCCACTTGACCTTTGGGGATGAGATTTCCTGCCCCTCGGAGGCTGGGGATAAAGACGAGTCCTTCTGGAGCTGCCTGCTGACACACTGTACCAGGGGCCACTTGACGCCGGCGGGCTGTGCCTCCTGGCTCTCCGCAGGCGAGGGAAAGGCAGCGTCCCCACTGAGCGGCTGAGGGAGAAACACCCAGTCACACGTGCTCACACTGCGGCCCGCGACAGGGAGAAAGCTCAGCTCCTTACCTCAATGTGATGGAACTGGCTCCCCGCAATGCTGGATGACATGATGTAGTGATTGTTATGGTCCTTCAAGGCCTCCTCTGTCATCACAGCTTCACTCACCACAACTGCGTGGGAGGTCTCCGCAGGGCTCTCCTCCTCGCTGCTGGAGAGGACAGGGTCAGAGAGGATCTGCCTCCTCCTCCTCACCACTAAAGCCTCCTCATCTGAGGTCAGAAGCACCTCTGTCTCCCCATTCCTCCCATGCAGCTGACCTGTACAGCGTGCCTGGAGCCTGAATCTCCTCGCTGATGGGTGTGATGATGCTGTACTCTGTCGTCCCGCCAAAGGGGATAGTGATCTGCTGCAGCTCTGAGCCACCCAGGGCCGCCTCCTCATAAGCCTCCTGCACCAATGTCTCCCCAGGCTCTGTCATGTGCAGCGTCACCAACTTCTGCTGCTGCTGCTCCTCAGAGTCCACCTCTGCCCCCTCCTCCTGTGCCTGCGGCTCACAGGGAGCCTGCGCCTCTCCTGAATCACCCGGCTTCACCACTGCGACCTGTGGGGGGACAGCAGCTCAGCTGGAGGAAGGCAAGGTTCTGCAAGACACTCCCTGAAGCAGAACAAGGCTGGGCGCTGTGGAAAGGCTGAGGGGGAGGCTTCCCAGCCCTCCAACCAGGCATACCTCCAGACCTCCTCACCTGCAGCGAGCCGGTGGCCAGCTCTCGCTGAGTGCTCATGTTCAGACGGAGATCCAGG